GGGGTCGAGGTGTCGCAGGGTCGGGCAAATCATGACGTCGTATTTCTGTGTCCTTGTGATACTCCTCCCCCTTTTCCTCTGCAGCCCCTTCTCGCGCGGGGGGGCATCGCAGGAAAAGGCCCAGCGCGGCATCCTCGCAGCGAGTGGCTTGGCACTGCACGGCTTCCACGCTCACGTTGCCTCATCACAAAACATGAATGCGCAGGCGTCAAGGAGGTGCAAGGAAAGGAGGATGAGCATCTGAAGGAACCGAAGATGAAGAGGTAGCAGGAACATGTGGAATGTAGAAGAGGAGAGGAAGATGAGTACGAGGATGACGGCGACGATGGGCAAGACGATGTGGCGGAAGGGAGAGGAGGGGAGGAGGGAAGGAGGAGAAGTGGGGGCGCGAGGGAGGAAGGAGAAAGGGGAAGCGAGGATACCTAGGCTGAGGGTCGTCAACCAATCAATAAAAGCACATTGAAAATGCTTGAGTGCAATGGAAGAGGGGGAGAGCAAACACGAAACAAGTACGGACATGGGCATACGCGCACGCGAGCAACAACACAGCGCTGCTGATTCAGAGCGACAGCGTTATGTGCGGAAGAAGCATACGTTGGTGACTTCTGATGTGCTGGGAGATAAAGGAGTCGGCGCAGAATTTGACATCTTGTTTTTCCCCGGGACGTCTCACCTACCGCGGGGGGGGATGGCGGTCAGCATCCCGTCCAGAGAACAAACGATCGCGAATCAGGTATGAGGCCCTTGCTCCGCCCCATCGTAGCCGGCGTGCACAAGCAAGGGTGCACGCGGGGGGGATCATATGAAGGCAGGTGCAGGTGGCTTCTCAGAGGACATCCCAGATTCCAAGAAGAAGAAGAAGAAGAAGCCTCCAGGCCATTATCAGAATACCCCCTGCCTTCTAAGAAGCCCCCCGCCTTCCTAGAAGGCCGGCACCATCGCGCAACCATCTTACGCGCGCCGCCAACCATCCTCCCCCTCCTCCTCCTCCTCCCCCCCCCCCTCCTCCCTCCTCCTCCTCCTCCCCTCCCCTCCTCCCCTCCCCCCTCCTCCTCCTCCTCTCCTCCTCCCTCCTCCTCCGCCTCCTCCTCCTCCTCCTCCTCCTCCTCCCCTCCTCCTCCTCCTCCTCCTCCTCCTCCTCCTCCTCCTCCTCTCTCTCTCCTCCTCCTCCGCCTCCTCCTCCCCCTCTTCCTCCTCATCCTCCTCCCTCCTCCTCCTCCTCCGCCTCCTCCTCCTCCTTCCTCCTCCTCCTCCTCCTCCTCCTCCTCCTCCTCCTCTTCCTCCTCCTCTCTTCTCCTCCTCCTCCTCCTCCTCCTCCTCCTCCTCCTCCTCCTCCTCCTCCTCCTCCTCCTCCTCCCCCGAGGGGGAGGCCTGGCACCTGTTTTCATGGTGTCAGTGCCGAGCACCCTCGGGGCACACTGTACACGGCACTTATTTCGCAGGTTGGGCGGGGTGCAACCGGCCGATTTTTCTGGAACCGCGGGCTCTGGGGCTTGGGGTGGACGTTGCGAAACCTGTATCGACGGGTCTCCCGTCGTTGGGTGTAGCACGGCCCCAGTCTCAGCCTGGCCCTGCTGTTGAAGGCGGGTAGCGGCGCCTGTGCGGTCATTCCAGTGTGATCTGACCCTCAGGGATCGGCATTTCTTCGGGAGGCGGTGGCTTTTGCCACGTAAGTCCCAAGGGGCCTTGTGCCCACCCAGGGCTGGGGAGCTTGTGCTCCTCAGTATGCCGTGCCAGCTGTTCCGACTGGGATGCCTTTAGCTCCCAACGCACCATGTCGGAACCGCTGGGCCGCGAGTCTTCACAGGCGACGTGGTCACCCCCTATGCCTTTCCTGCGAAGCTGTTGCTGCTTTCCGGGCGGTAGTTCGTTGGCTGGGCGTGTGCAATGCATGCGCGGCCTTCGGGAAACCGACCCTGGGCGCCAGACTCCTCCTCCTCCTCCTCCTCCTCCTCCTCCTCCTCCTCCTCCTCCTCCTCCTCCTCCTCCCCCTCCCCCTCCCCCTCCCCCTCCTCCTCCAAGATTCTGAGCGAGGCCGAACAGGCTCGGCGGAATTCGTAGTTAAGGGATTTCGCTTTGCGACTGGGGTCACTCACTCACTCCTCCTCCTCCTCCTCCTCACCCTTCTCCTCCTCCTCCTCTTCCTCCTCCTCCTCCTGCTCCTCCTCCACCTCGCTGGTGCCGGAGGACCTCTGCTTTCTGTTGCCCAGAGGGCGCCCTGGAGTCCGTCCGACGGGTCCGCGGGTGAGCCCTGGGCACAGCGTGAGCCCACGACCAGGAGATGGTCGAGAAGAAGGGCCAGCAACAGTAGAGAAACAACAAAAAACACATTAGACATCAGAATCAGAAAAAAGCCGCATAAACAGAAACTTTTGGCGCTCAGCGCGGATTTCTTGGATCTGCGCTGGACGCCCCTCCCTGGCGCGCGGAGCGCGCCAGGGGCGGCGCCAGAGGCGCCGCGTGGGGTGCCCAGCACGGATCCAGGAAATCCGCGCGGAGCGCCAAAAAATTATGTTCATTGCGTTTTTCTTCTTCGAAACATATGGTCGGGAACTTTTGCTTAGCGTGTCGCGGGGGCGACCCCAGTGACACGCTATGCGCGGACAGCTGGGAAAAACTCGGGACGCTGACGCTGAGGGCCCAGAGGGTGGATAGCGTGTCGCGCCAAAGCGAACGCGTAGTGGGCCAGGACCAGCGGAAAGACGCGCTAAGCCAAAATTCCCGACCGTAAACAGAAACTGTCGGAGGTTCGTGCGGATTTCTTGGATCGGCGCTGGAGGCGCCGCCAAAAGGAGTCTGGCGCAGATCCTAGACATCCGCGAGGACCTCTGTTTAGTTTCTGGTGGTGTCGTTTATCGCTCTTGGGAGCAGGAGAAGGAGGGCGAGGGAGAGGACCAGAATAAGAACTGAGGGGAGGTGGGGAGACGAGCGAGGATAAAAGGGAGGGAGGGAGCGAGAGGGGATGCGGGCAGGATGAGAGAACAGGAAAAGAGAGGTGGAGAGAGGAGGGACTAAAGAGGGAGGGGCCAGGAGGGAGGCGGGAGGAGGGTGCGAAGACGGAGGAGGGAGGAAGAGAGCGGGCAGGAGGGAGTCCTTTCGATAGAGCTGCATTAAATTCAGGGCTCGAGGCTGCGTGAATCCAGCAACGCAAGGGACTTCAAACGGAAGAAGCAAGCATACCACATCCTCATCCTCTTCCTCCTCCTCCTCCTCCCTCCCCCTCCTCATCGTTCCTCGCCCTCGTCCTCCACCTCAGAGGGGGACAGAAAGAGAGACCCGAAAAAAAGGTTAGCCTGTCAACGAACGAGCCAGATATTCCGCGGGCTGCTCCGGCGCCTCGAGAGGCCCATCTTCTCGCCCCCCTCTCGCCCGTCCCGAGAGCAGGAGAAGAAGCAGGCGAGCGCCCAAAGAAGCGGACCTTCCGCACAGAGTAGCGCCACGGTTCCGAAGTAGCCGCTGGGGCACAGCACCTCCTGCGCCTGCCCCGCTTCCGCGCCCTCCCTGCCCGCCTGCTCCTCATCTTCATCTCTTCCCTCTCCTTCTTCTCCCTCTACATCTCCCTCTTCCTTCTCCTCATTCTCCATGATCCTCATTCCATCGTCACCCACCCTCCTCCTCCTCCTCCTCTCCTCCTCCCTCCTCCTCCTCCTCCTCCTCCTCCTCCTCCTCCTCCTCCCCCTCCTCCTCCTCCTCCTCCTCCTCCTCCTCCCCTGTGCCGACTTCGATGATGTTAACGTTCTCGCCGTTTCGGGCTTCCGACGCTCCAAGACGGCCCAAGAGGCCCCCCAAGATCATCCCGAGACGGCCCAAGAGACCCCCAAAGTTCTCGCAAGACAGCCCAAGAGGGCCCCCAAACAGCCCAAGAGGCCCCCGAGACGGCCCCAGAGACCTCCAAGACGGCCTTAAAGAAGGACCCAAGACTGCCTCTAAGGCCAAGGAGTCCCACAGAGGCCCCCAGATTCCCCTAAGAGGGCCACAAAAGGCCCCACCCAGTACAGCGGTTCGTGGCCCCTAGGGAGCTCCGCCGAAGCCCCCAGTGGGACCGCCCGCATGCGTCCCACACACCCAATTTGGCACTTTCACCCACCCAGTACAGCGTGTCGTGGCCCCATAGGGAGCTCCACCGACGCCCCCAGTGGGACCGCCCGCATGCGTCCCACACACCCAATTTGGCACTTTCACCCACCCAGTACAGCGTTTCGTGGCCCCTCAAGGAGCTCCACCGACGGCCCCAGTGCTACCGCCCGCATGCGTTCCCACCCACCCAGTGCAGCGCTTCGTGGCCCCATAGGGAGCTTCACCGAAGAAGATATTCACAAATGCGGTACCCACAACTGCATATGGTTGGGTCCTTCGCCAGGATTTGTTTTTATTACTATTTTTGAGTGTTCCTCCTGTAGAGGGGCATGCCCGACTTCACCCTGGGCCTCGTGAACGGAGCTCTGGAGGCCCTCTGGGCCTTGTGGGACACCCTAATAGCAGCGTGGGCCAGGCACGCCTTACGCAACACCCTAGAAATCATGCGGGCTCGATTTTGATCCGGCGTCGTCGGTCAGGGGCCAGGAGGCGGCCTCCGAGGCTCGGGCGGGTGGTACCCATCGGTCGGAAGAAATGAATAGAACCATGGAGTAGGAAGGCGTTGGAAGTAGATTGGGTCTCCGCCCGCCTCCTGAAGAGAAGGGAAGAAGGAAAACCTCTCGACTCTTGAAGTAGAAAGGCGGCTCAAGTAGATTTGGAACTGGGACTCCAAAAACACCTACTTTCAACGACCGATAGGTAATGGTGTTGAGTTGACTAGGGGGTGAAGGAGTCCTTTAGGGGCCCGTCTGGAGCCTGCAAGGGTCCCATAGGGCCCTGCTCTCTACCCCCCATGTAGGTCACCCCCCATTACCACCTGCCCGAAAAACCCAAAACGAAGAACACCCAGCCGCCGCGACTTGTGATGGTGCGTCGCCACGATATTCGGATCACCCCTAGCTCGCTGCCTCGCGGTCCGTCATCGCGGGGTGGTGCACCAACGCGTCCACGCCAACCGCGGCCACCGCGCCCGGCAAGCAGTCCTCCGCCGTGGAGTTCACCCACTCCTCCCGCGGCAAACCCCTTCCCTCCTCCCTCCTCCTGCGCCCTCCTTCCCTCCAGCCTCCATCCTTCCCGCCCCCTCCTCCTTCATCATCATCCATCCTCATCCTTCTCCTCCCCCGTCCCTCCTCATCTGCCTTCCCGCCCCCCTTACATCCATCCTCTTTCCAGCTAACTACTCATCACTCCTATTCCTCCGCCCTCCTCCTCATCTCCTCCTCCCCCTTCTTCCTCCTGTTTTTCCTTCTTCCTTCGTTTTGCTGCTCCTCCTCCTCCTCCTCCTCCTCCTCCTCCTCCTCCTCCTTTTCCTCTCCCTCCTCGTCCACCCCATACAAAACCAGCAGGAGATGCACGACAACGACAAGTTTGATGAGAGGCCTTTTTTAACAACGCGTCGCAAGACCTCGCGATCAATACTTAAGATGAAGTCAGGACGAGAAAAGCATCGGGTCTAGATAAATCGAGAATCTCTGAGACCCCGCGGCTTTGGATGATGTGCCGGGCGCCAGGGCCTTCTCAAAACGTTCCAAAACGCTCTGAGCGCGTTCCGGAACGCTCTGGAACGGACTTATGCTCTTCCCAGCCCCGTCCGTATACTTGAGCCACCGATTATGGTTACCGTCTGGATCCTGAGAGCAAGTGCTGGCCGTTCCTTGAAGAATGGGGGTGAGCATTTAGGCCCCCCCCCTCGGCTGGATCAGGCCGTCACGCTCGCCGGAAGCAACTATACTACGCTAGTGCATATAGAAAAGGTTACATATGCCAAAGCAGCGCAGGGAGACATGCACCATGGCAGCGCAAAAGGTAACTTGGATTAAGGCGGGACACCCGCTCTATTTTCCGTTGTCACAGTTGCCCTGTGCACTGATGCCTGGAAGTTACGCGGTGGTTACACGCGCAACAAGAAATTGAAACCAGGACTCGGTGGTCGGTGCCAACTCACGTCTGCTTGCGGTAAGCTGCTAGTTTGTAATGGTCATGTGCAGTAACATGCCATCCTCACGTATGTATCTTGTTAGTGCGTATGCAACATGATCATGCCCCTCCCCCGCCTGATTACCTCTATGCTTCCATACGTTACTTCACCCTGCAACCAAAATTTATAAACATCAATATGTATCGCTTTGCCTAACCCTCGCCGGCTGGCAGTCGCGGTCGCTGCCCTTGCGTCTCTCTAGGTTGGCATTGCTGCACCCACGGTGCATGTCAGCAACGCGTGGACTCCCAATCCGACTGAGGCTCTTTTAGCCATGCCGTAATACTTAGCCGCTCCAGACGAACTGAATGCTCTCCAGTATCGTATCGAGTGCGATCCCCGCATGAAAGCCCATCAACTGGTCGATTTTCGGGTCCCCCTGCGCCCAGCGAGATCAGCACCCCTCCACGCCGTCAATTCCTCTGGCTTCTCCTGGAAAGGGCACCGACAACAAGACCAGAAAACACTTTTCAAGCACTTGCCGAATCTAACACATCCCTTCCAAGATCCTCGCGCCGGCGCCGGCATTGTTCGAGCGGGCTCCTTGATCGAGAACCATGCATCCGATCAGTCCCGCGCGAGAAAGTTCGCCCGGGCCACCGGCGCCTGGTGCCTTTTTGTCGGGGGCCAGAAACGGTTCATCGTCGCGTTCCTCGCCCGTGAGCCCGTTCCCTGGCATCTCGTGCCTGACTTCGTTCTCGTCTCAATCCAGCTCGTTATTCAATATCTAAGCGCGTCCTTGATCGGCCTCGCACAATACATCCTCCTGGTTCTATTCTGCAGACCTGTGGAGAGCCCGGATGTACTTCGCGTCTGTCGATGCTGGTCCTATCATGCCAAGTTGACCTCAAACTTGTCCTTGATCTCCTTCTCAGGCCAGGCGAGGTCGGCCTCGCCCCCAGTGAGGCTGATATCATCACAGTGTACTGTTCACAAGAATATTATGGTCTTGTGATGAAATACAAGTGGCGGCGCAATTCCACGGGTAAAACCAACGGCATGCGCAAAATCCACTCAACCAAATTCCAAATTAATGGCGGCATCCCTTGTTCCGCAAATCAACGTCCAATCACTTTCCACGCCCCCGCTCCCTGGCCCCCCCCTGGCAACCTGACGCGCCGCTTTTTATTGGCCCCGGGTCGAGAGCACGCCTGTTTTCACATGTGTTATAGCAAGGTTGAACCCTGACGCGCGCTCTCCCCCCGATGAGCCCACATCCCTCGTTAAGCGTCGTTGTGCACATTGGATCCCGGGCCTCGAACGGCGGAGTCGCGGCGAAGATGCGCTTCCCCTGCCGGTTGCATGTGCCCCGCTGCGCTACAAGTCGAGAGCTGCATTTGGGACTAATCTCGTTGCCTTGGTTAATGTCAATCCACTTCGTGCTGGTGGGCGCTTTCCCAAAAACGGCCCAACATGCCTCCTTTTACACTTTCTCGTAGACCTCGTGCCTCCTGAACTGCCCCTTTTCCCCGCGCGAGGCTCAGCGGCAACTGCGGGGTCAAGTTCGCCGCCAGATTATGCGGTCGAGCGCAAGCCCCGCCGCCCCCACCACGATGCACAACGCGAATGCACTCTGGTAGCCGGCCTCGCCTTCCCAACATCCCCGCGCGCCTCGCGCGCCCGGGGGGCCATCGACCACCCCGGGAGTTGGCGCGCTCTGCAGTTCCAGCGACGGGGTCGGATGTCGCGGGTGGCCCAGCAAGTGCGGGTAGTCATGGCGTGTCAAAATCTTCCCTTTGAAAAAACATCCTCCGACCGCGTCGCAAGATCTCGCTAACCTTCCTGTCTTCGATGACCTGGTCAGCGTCGAAGTCCTGGATGACCCTGCAAGCGCGCGAACTCGACGCTGGAACTCGGACTCCCAGCAAGATCAACATGGCGGCCCCGCAGTCTGCCCTGGCCAAGGGCGTGGACCTCGCGCTTCTCATCCTGATCCCACCGCGCCTCGTTAACCTCCAAATCCGAACATAGACCACTCGGGTAAGTATCTGGATCGCAGGACTTACGAGACCTGCCTGTTCGCTCATCTGCCTGCGTCCCATGAGCCAAACCTCGCATCGCGGTCCTGCGCGATCTGTCCGCGTAAATATCGGACATGCTCGTTCGCCCCCCATTAATGCCGCGCGCCTGCGCCGCCCTTGACAGGAGGTACAGAGCCCCACCGATGTCGGGGCCGTTGGTCATGAACCTGGCGGGTTTTATTCGACGCGCGCTTCATGCATCTTATCACCCGCCCCCAGCCACAGCAGCGCATGCTTCCCTCATGCGTCAAAACTTCCACGCTGCAAGCACGAGAAATACTCGTGAATCCCCCCTGCGTCACTTTAGCACCGCAATTTTATTGAATATTCCACGGGGGCATTTTCGCTGGGTGATATCTTTAGCGCCGCGCACATGCAACAAGACAACGCCCCTGTCGTGGCGGCCCCTATGGGCGCGCGCGTGCGCCAGGCCCCCGTCTGCACTGGCGGCGCGCCCTGCCGCTGCGTCGGTCGGTGCTTAGTGGGGCTTAGCAAGACCCAGCAGTGCTTGGCAGAGCTCCGCAAAGCCCCGAGCGCCCTCTGGAGGCCCTCCCGGCGCCGAGGCGACGCCGCCAGGGTGCCGGAGGCGCTGATGTTTCACCGGAAGGAAAGGGGCGGTTCTTTAAGACATCCTGGTTACTATTCTCTTGACTGGCGCCGCGGATCCAACTCGAGGATCTCGCCGGGCGCTCGAGCGACATGCCCAACACTCACTTGGATGTCACAAAACATCCAATGCAATGCCATATGGTGATGGCCAACCCCCTTAGCGCCAAAGGCACGCAGACGACTGAATGCCGCGCACATTGGCCCCTCCACTGATAGCAAAGCCACTTTACTTGTTCCAGCTTCCTCGCTTGTGCCAGCGTAATTCCGCAACTAAACACCCAGAGATCGTCGCGCGGAATTGAACCCATTGGCAGAGCTGGCGTCAATCCCAATTTCCTTGCCATACCTGCACCTCGAACAGGTTGGCGCGACTCTGAGACGCGCTAGCGCAGGTCGTTGCCCTGCCCCGCAAAAACTCACAGCTCCCCTGATCTCGTTAGCCTGCTCGATGATATTCAAATTGCACCCTACAGGCCAACCCGCCACATAGAAATTAAAGTCTATTCGACCCAGCCCGGTTCGCACCTCGCTCGCTCGTTATTCCATATTCACCTCCCCCATTGCACCTGTTGGATTCCCCCTTCTGGCCATCCTCGCCCGCCCCGTCGGGTCTCAATTTAGAGCTGGGCATGGTCCATCTCCGAGGTCGCCACCTTCGGCCTCGAACTCGGCCCGCCCGGTCCATTCGCCACCTCCGAAAGGATTGTTCAGGATATCGTGAGGCCCTGTGCCTTCGTGTACAATCCAATCATCAACGTGATCATGAATAGCTCCGTCAGAAACCGCGATGGCTGGGCGCCCCCCCCCCCCCCCTCCCCAGAGCTCGCAATTAACTGGGCCGCGGCCTCCGCCAACGAACGGCCGGATTAAACATAATATGCTCGCGAGGAGCGTGCCCCCATATAGTGGCGTTCCCTCAGGCAACCCACTCGCCCCGCGAGTCGAGCCCCCCTCGCTGCTCTATCCCTGCGATCCTGTTCCTCTGCGAGCCCAGTCTCCTGCATCATCTCGGTCGCCGCTGACTTCGCCCGGGCATTGTCCGTCCGACAACTCTGGTTCGGCGCTCCAGGTTGCGCGGCCCGTCGCTGCGACCTCCTCTGCAGTGGTTGCCTCGCGCCCGCAACAGCCTGGAACTGCCGCCATGGCTAAGCATTCAAACTTCTCGGCGGCGACGCCGCGCGCCGCGTCGGACTCCGCGCCGGCTTGTTCCCCGCAGGCAACTTGAGCCGCTGTGGGGATTGCGATCCTCGCTCTCGCCTCCGCGCGCATGGGGTCGGGAGCGGGGCGACCGGGCGACCCTTTCAACCCCCTTGCT